AAAGGATTACTAAAGCCTGAGGATGTACAGAGGTTAACACCATGAGTCTTTCTGTGTCAGACTACAGAGACATTGGCCAGACCACAGATAGAAGCGGGATTCGTTTCTTGCGGGGTGGTGAGGGGATGTAAATCATTAATTCTTCATGACTGTAATATAAAAATGCAGAAGCCTGAAGATTTGATCATTTCTAGTCCACAGACTTTCCATTCCCTGCTCCAGAGTAATGCTGAGAAATATCTGGATCTGGATGTTTCTTTCCATATCTGTTGTGCACAGAACTGATATTGTTGTCAAAGCTGTGGCTTTATAGTGGCATATTACAAGGAACTGGGGACCATCTGGTGAAATAAATGGTCAAATAAAAAGAGGCTAACTGGCCACGCCCTCAGTCCTGTATGCCTCTGTTAAAGCTTGGTTATGGAAACATTAAAGCTAGAACACTTCTTTCTCCTCCTCCTCCTCCTCCTTCTCCTCCACAAACACTACACACCTGGTCAAAAGTCCATATCCCTGGCCCTCCCGCGTATGATCCCTTCATCTGGAAACAAAGAGCCATATAAACCAGTGTCGTTTTCCCAATTAGGAGAAGAAAGGAGGTCCGGAGATAAAGAGAGACGGCAGCATCTTCTGGAGTCAGCATGAAAGCTGCTCATTTGCGAACGCCCTGCTGGGTTAATTCAACCCCTGCATGAGTGTGTATGTTTTCACACTGGCCTACTGAACTCTTTCATTTCACGCCATCGGACAACCACTGATGTGGACAAATACACTCAGAGGAATGCACACATGATAATACACCATGACCGCACATTCACACATTTTCACAAATACTGAATTAAGACGTTCATTTCTAATAACTTTCTGTTTTAAGTGCTACTTTGATATAGGATTCCTGTAGTTTAAAATGACATGTCAAGAGTCAGTGGTATTATTAGCCTTCTTCTACTGTGTGTGCCTGCCTTTGTGTGTGTGTTCACAGCTGGTTTTAATATAGGAGCGACTGGCAGATAAGAAAATGGTCCAAAGCAGTGAAGGGAAAAGGAGGATTTAGAGATTCAAATGCCATAACAGAAAATAACACTGTATCACAATCTCCTGCTGACTCAGGCATTCACTTACTTTTCTTTAATCGCTCTGTTCTAATGTCTGAACCTGTTTCAACAGAGAGCAGATGAGCTGTGAGGACACAGACATAATTAGATTTTAAAAGACATACCAAGGTATAGCTCCTAGGTCTGAGCAATTTTTCATCATTGTATCTATTAACTGGTTTCCCTTAATCTCTGTTTGACATTTAACGAAAAGCTTGTTTGCTTTAGTGCAGTGACATGAATGAAAAGATTGATACCACTCGTGTGAGTACGCTAAAAATGAAGCTATAGCCAGCAGTCAGGTAGCTTAGCTTAGCAAAAAGACTGGAAACAAGGGGAAACTACGGAGCTCCTGAAGTCCCATAAGATTTTATTTTTTATCTTGTGCGCACAAGTTATTATCTTGTGGGAACAAGATAATTCATCTTATGGGACTTCAGGGGCCCCGTAGGAAACAGTTAGCCTGGCGCTGTTTTTTGTTCACAAACACCCATACGAGCCTGGAAACAAGGGGAAACTACGGAGCTCCTGAAGTCCCATAAGATTTTATTTTTTGTCTTGTGTGCACAAGTTTTTATCTTGTGGGAACAAGTTATTATCCTGTGTGCACAAGATAATTATCTTATTCCTACAAGATGATTATCTTGTGCGCACAAGTTATTATCTTGCTCCCACAAGATAAAAAAAAATCTGCAGGAAACAATTAGCCTGGCTCTGTTTAAAGTTCACAAACACCCATAGGAGTGTCTCTAAAGCTCACTAATTAACATGATGGATCTGACTGGTGGGACACAGGCTAGCTGGTTTCTCTTGCTTCCAGTCATCATGCTAAGCTAAGCTAACAGTCTCCTGGCTGTAGCTTTGCTGTAAACACGAGAGTGTAGTTTCAAACTTCTCATCTAAATCTCCACAAGACAGCATATACAGTAAGCATATTTCCCAAAATGTTACGCTATTCCTTTAACTTTGAACTTAAAAGTTCATTCTTGACCTTGAAAACAGCAGATGATAAACAAGCTGTTCCAGAGCTTTTGACCATTATTGCTTAAACCTTATGAGCAAAAATGGTCCTCCAGGTGTTTAGTCAGCTGTTTCTGAGGTCAATAATGAAGCTTGACTGAATTAAGTTTTATGGCAACATGGATGAAAAGAGCTATGGGGAAAAAATTATAGCAGTGCCTCTACTTGAGCAGGATTCCTACAATGTAAACTGCAGGATGTACTGCTGCCAAAGTGCCCTCCATATCAGGACTAGGGGAGGTAAGGCAGCTGAGAGTGCAGACTGCCCTCCGGAGACAGACAGCAATGAATGCTGGTTGGACTGCAGCCCAGCAGCACACCCAAGAAACTGGCTGCACGCGTGCTTTGAGTCATGTCGACCGCAGAAAGCAACTTATCCGGCAGCAGCTCTGAATGTGGACTTAAGTAGCAGAGATGTCAACAGACTGCCTCCCCGGACGCTCATTTAAACACTGCTGATCACTTCTGTGGTACGCTGGACGCTCTAGTTCAAACTCTTGTCAAACCTCGAAAAAAGCAGCTCAGATAAGAGCAAGTGTAAAATTTGAGGAGACAAGTAGTTTCAACACGACAGCAGGTTTGGAAGTTCAGTATGCTGAGAAAGATGTGGGGTGACCACTTTTCCTAAGGTACGCTGCCAGTGTCAACTGGAAACCTGGACTTCTTGCAGCCACACGTCAGGAGCAGATTCCTGAGGCAGATGGGAAGAAAGCTGCTGAAAATCAGCTCAACACACAGTTATGACCCCATTAAAACATTCATTCACCACCAAACTGACTACAAACATACTTTCCTTTACGCTAGTACAGTTTTAACTTGTGTCTGTCAGGTGCTACATAATACTTGACTTGTAAAAACCAAGTGGTCACCCATTTTTAAAACAGTAGTTAACAAATTTATTTACTTTAACTTTTATCCTTGCATTAGGTACAGCCAAAATAAAAGGTATATACTTCAATCCCCTTTGAATAAAACCCTAACCTTCACTCACTAGGCGTACAGAGAAACACTGCCACCTAGAGGTAAATAAATAACAATACATAGTTTGATCATTAAAATGATAAATACAAGTAGCTACTGATTTCTTATTGATCTTGGCCAGTGATAAGGGTTATGATCACCCCTCCACACAATATATGACCACCTGCTGTCACAAGACTGAAATTCGATACTTAGGTCATGTGATAACAAATGAATCATCTCCATGACAACTGAGCATTGGTGGAAAGTAAGGAAGTACATTTACTCAAGTACAGTTTTGAGGTACTAGTTCTTAACTTAAATATGTCCATATTATTCTACTTTATACTTCTACTCCACATTTGTTTGACCGCGATTTATTTTTCAGATTCATTTATTTACATACAAACATCAGTTTATTAAACAGAAGACATTGTGACAGATTAAAGCTGTGGTTTCCAACCATTTTGACTAAAATTAAAAAATGGGTTTATCTAAACAACTGATTGAAGCTCAAAGATGCAAAATTATCCAATATGCCACCAAGGTGAAAAGTCCCCAAAAATTCATCCAGATCTGTTTACCAGAAGTTTCATTTCTTCTATCCTCTCCAATTAATCGTCTCACGACCCCTCAATTTTATCTTGTGAGCCTTTGGAGGGGCCTGACCACTAAGTTGGGAATCACTGGACTAAAGTACATCAGTGTATATAAAGTTCATAAAACTAGCTTGACCAGATACGACAATAAAGTAATAAAGTACTGTTTACACACTGATGCATCAGTAATAACTACGCAATTTAATACATCAGTGTACTTTTGTTTGGTATACTTCTAGTAAATTTAGCTTATAATACTTGTTTACTTTTATTAAGTACAATTTTAAATGCAGAACTTTGGTATTGGTACTTATACTTCAGTTAAGGATCTCAATACTTCTTCTTCTACCACTGCATCTGAGCAACATCCACAAGATAAAGTCTACAAGAAATCTTACAGTAAGAGTTCTTTGTCAATCTACATGTAGTTTATGACAGATGTGTCCAAGCAAGTTGTTAATTTTGAGCTTGAAGTGTGTTCATGCTGTAAAGTATGCAACTTACAGAATATGTGCTGTGGAAACTTCACCTCCACTCCTCAAACACTAACATTGATGACTTTACAGTGAGACATCTGTTGTCCAGTAGTTAAACTTTTAAAATTATACCTGCATTTGTATATACAGATTTTGTGTTTTTCAATGAGGAAGGAGCACACCAGAATTAAACTATATAATCTAACTTTGAGACAATAAGTTATTACATAAAGCAGAGTATTTTTAAAACATGTCTGGAGGGGATCTAATCACTTGAAATGATTTTAACACTTTATTTTTGAGTGCTTTTGACAGACACTGAGGAAATGGAGTTGCTAACAGCTTCAAACATTTAAATGAACTGTGGATGGAAGAACAGAAGTGCTTTCTTTGTGAAGTTCAGCTAACAGTGTCACTCCAAAATCTGTTTGATTGTCATATCTGTTAGAGCACATATTGTTAGTAAGACATATTAAAGCAAAAGAGTATACCATGAAATGTACAGTACACACAGTTGGATGTTGACTGTGGAGCCGAAGGTTATTAATCAATTGAAAGTTAACTGCAACTACTTGAATAATTGATTAATCATTTATCCATTCTTTAAAGGTTTAAAAAGACCAAAAATTCTATATTAATGTGAATATTTGCTGCCTTCTTAGTCTTCCATTATAGTAAATTTAATATTTTTGGGGTTTTGGACTGTTGATCAAACGCAACATTTTACAGACTGAAAGCGTAATAAAATGTATAGACTGATTAATAAATAATGAAAACAATGATTTGTTGCAGCCCTAGACACAGCTGGTCTTTTGTTGCCATTTGAGAACTAATAAAAAAAATAATCAAAATAAGTTGCTTATTTAAAGATTTATTAATTTATAATACAAGCTTTTATGTAGACCACATTGCATTTTAGTTTTTACATTTATTCATACTGAGCTAAACTTCATAGCAGTGACACTGATTGACATAAACACAAACCAAAGGACACTCAATGGAAGGATTTAAAAGGTTTCCAACTGTTTCTGAAGAAACTGCAGCCCATCAACACTCCCAGTGCACCACCTTTTATATATATATATTTTTTTTTTTTAAAGACCACATGCCCTCACTAGTCCTCATACAGTATGCCACGTGCATCACACACCCTCAGACACACTCACACAACAAAACTCACCCACACTAAAATTTAACAAATACCTATACACAAGATAAAAATCGATATATTTAAATTTCAATATTAATGATATTACTGAATTCCACGAAAAATGCAAACAAGAAGTAAAGACAGCAACCAAATGAAAAGGAGGTGAAACACCACCAAAATTTTTTCCTTTATAACTCATCCAAGCGGGAGAAACTCTTTCCTTGCCACATACACAGTGTCCAGTAGAGGGGGGGGGGGTCTCACACCAACGACACTCCTCCCTCTCATCTTCAACCGCTTCTTCTGTCTGCGTTTAACTGGCCCGCCGTATGGGCTCCCACTATGAAGGAACACCGACAGTCTAGTCCATAAAGTCAACGCCTGAGGTGCGAACACGACACCTGAGGGCACACAAGCAATCCTCCGACTCTGTCTTTACAAACCTTGCTTGGAGTCTGTTCCTGTTTGGCGTGGACCCGTGCCTCCCCTCAGGTGTTGACACAGCTCTTCTAATAAAAGTCTTTTCTCCATTGGTCCGCAGCCTGGAACAAACAGGTGTAAAGTAATGGCACAAACGCCACTGGTGCTGATACAGACCCAACGGTTCAGTTAGTGAGAGGCAGAACGTGTCATGAGGAGGATGGCACGTTTTCTACCACAAGGGGAATTTAGGTCTGTTCCTCTGACCACAAAAACAAAACAAAAAACAGCCATTGGGGAAAAGAAGATGACAATCAAACACAATGAACACTTCTGAAATAACATACTGGTTAAGTGCAATGAGAGGGTTAACACCATTCAGTAAGACCTGGGGAAACATCCATGTGAGTATTAGAGAAGGGTTATAGCTCACACATCCTTGATAGCAATTCTGTGTCCATGAAGAGCAAAGAGTTCCAGAGTCTTTTCACTTTGTACGATAGCTCTTTAAATCCTGTCCAGCAGTGAACAGGTTTCCGAGAGAACGTAGGTACTGTTAAATGTCATGATCTTCAAATAAAAAGAAATAACAGCAACTTCTGCTGACACAGTAAAAGTTTTGGGGGCAAAAAAATTAATATATTGGCACATTAAAAAAAAGCCTCAGATTGGTGTGCAACCAAAGCAGGCGACAGCCCCAACCAGACTTCCTCTGATTTATTCCAAATCCACAGCTGACAGGATGACAGGCAGGAGAGAACAGGGTGTATGCATGTTTATGTGTATGTAATGTTATGTGTGTGGTTTTGTATATGGTGTGTGTGTGTGTGTGTGTGTGTGGGGGGGGGGGGGGGGGGGGGGGGGGGGGGGGGGGGGATGGTGTTTTTTGCTTTACAAGAGGAGGCAGCAGTTGCTCTCTGTGGTTTTTTCTCTGTTCCTTTGACCTACAAAGACAAAACAGCAGAGACATGAGGTGAGATTTAAAAAAAAAAAAAAAAAAAAAGCCAGCTGAAACTCGAAGAAAGCATGTATTGCTCTACGGACGTTCAGTGTGGGATGAGGTTAGCAGCAGTAGCAACAAAAAGCCCACTGCATGATGTGTGTAAAAGATCAAACAAAATGAATCCAGAAGCAGAGCTGGGTTCAGCCCTATTCTCACAACTGTCACTTTTCTCATCCCAGGCCTGTAGCTACCAAATTATGCTAATATTAAACCAATACTTCTGTAATTCTAGGAGACAAAGAAAAGATCCTCACCATGAGAGTTGGGCTCTGGAAGAGTCTCTCTGGCAACCAAGTGCATGACTGTTGTTCGGCCCGGTGGAAGCTTGAGAGCTTTGAACAAAGAAATAAACCTCATGATTCATTATTATTAAACTATATTTTATAGTTTTATCCTGTGGTGGCAAATCCTATGAAAATGATAACAATACAATCTCGTCTAAGTCTGATGAGGATAATACTTCAGCCAAATTCAGAAAGGAAATCTTAGAAGTCTGGCACATCCCAGATGAGCATAGCCACAAGATGTGGGCTGTTGTGGTCAAAATCAAAAAAGGAAAAAAAGTTTTATCCCACCAGGGGAAATTTGGTTGCAGCCAGGTATACTGGCACATTCATCAGAAAAAACATAAATCACATAAGGCGACAATCTCGATAGATCACAGGGACAAATCGTACAAACGCAAGATCACTTCAGATGAAGCAAACAGCTGAATGCTGAATTACACAAAGTGCTCAGGTGCAGAGATCTCATGTGCACATTCAGACTACTAATTGCTGTGCAAACAAAAGAGACTTTGTATATATTTGTGCTGTGAGCAGGAATTCAGTATCAACGGCCTGAAGCGCAAATTGCTTCTGCAGGGGCCAGTCCAATTTGGCCTGGGCCTTCCTTCAGACCTGCCTATAGCTGAGGTCAGAGAGCTGCAACTGACTCATCCAAATAACTGTACTGGCCACTTTTGACAATCCGGCCAAGCCTATTCTTGCTGGCCAGATTCAGGTTTCTAAACATCTATAGAATAGAGTCATCATTGGTGCCATGCAGTTCGATCCAATTTAGGGGAAATGTTTAGCCAGTTTGAGAGAGTGGGTGGGATTGACCTCTCATTCAGTATACAGTTTGTTTATTTAACTATAAGGCAAAATAATATGAGCAGCAGAGAACGAATGACACTGATCTTTCTTTGCACTCACTACAAACAGAGGGAAATGAGGGTAATATGTTTGATAAGAATGTGTATAATTAACAGCTATGTAGGGGTTAGGGTAGAGTTCCCACAGTTTATATTCACAACCTACCCACGCTACTTCCTGTCCCACCTTATCTTCACCACACCAAATTGAGAACAGGGAGGAAATAACTTCACTCACAACCATGACGGCAGATGTGTTCACTTCCTCATATCCTGCAAATGTCTTTTTAAAAAAAAATTTTTTTCTTTCCTTTATTGTGGTAGTGACAGGTGAAGAGGTAGACAGGAAACTGGGAGAGAGAAGGGTGTGACATGCATCAAATGTTCCATAGTACTGTTTGAAGTTAAGCTCTGCAAGCACATTTAGTGCTCCAGTGCATGTATTCCACATGATTAAAAAGTGCAAACTACATTTGCGACCAGAGTTTTAGGAGGGTGAGTGAGCAACTCACTCAAATGCAGTTGGCCAGGAACTAGTTTTTCTTTCACTTTTTTATTTCTTGAGGCTCACACATCTCTTGCATGATTTTCCTACATGTAGTTCACCATCTCAGAAACATACTAAATTGTCTAGATCACCTGGAGTAAAATGAAAATCACATAACGTGCCTAAGTTACAGGCATTTCTCTCACAGTATCATAAATATACATAACAGTATTTCAAGGTTCATTATTGATTTGGAAATAATAGTTTGACAAATAATCCTTTGCACAAGGTCCACTTACTGGATATTTTCCGGAGCTTTCAGCCACATCTCATGGCCTTAAGGAGTAGATAAAATTACCAGTTCCCTTGTGACTGAAATTCCATACTTAGCTCACGTGATAACAACTAAACCAAGTGACAACTGAGCAAACTCTATTACCGATTGTGGCTGAAAGCTCCAGAAAATTTCTAGTAAGTTAAACTTGTGCTAAGAAGTTCTTGTAAATCTACAGGAGGGTTTTTCTTTAGTTAGACGATAACTAAAAAGGTGCCATTCACTGTGGTCAGAATTATCTTGGTAGTGGTGTCTTTGTTCACGGACAGCCTTACCTCCCAGGGTAACGTTGCCATGAAGGAAGCGTCCCTGGAAGATGAGACGCAATATGCTGGGACTGCTCACTGTCTCCTCCTCCCATCCTGTTACAGAGCAGAGACGCAGGTGCACTTTTTTTTTTTTTTACACAAACAACTGAAACAGATCACTTAAGTTGTTTTTTAGTTGTGACAATAAAATTCAGACTGAATCTGATGGACTACTTAAAACAAAGTAATACAATCCGTAAAATATATAAACTAAAACAAATGTATAAACAAGATCTACTGTATCAAAATGTACCTGCAGGCCAGTTGTCAAATACATGTTTGGCAATGTCTGTGGCCGAGTCATTTGGGGAGAAAGTGAAGTCTTGCGTTTTCCCACTGACCAGAATAAGGCGGAGGTGCACCTACAACAACGAACAATAACAGCTCATCTTAGTCCACAGAAATGTCACAGCAGCCGACACAAACACAAGTCCCCCTTAATGAGTTGCAGTGGAATCCCTCCACTTCCTCTAACCTCTTCAGACATGAGATGACCTTCAGAGGGCTGTGAAGAGACGGGCATTCCAGTCTAATTAGATTTATCCGCACAAGATCTCCACCCTTTGACTGGGCGACTTCATTCACTGAGGGCTTACAGTGAAGTGAGCTCCTGTTGCAAGAGATGACAACAGATAAGGGTGGGGCTGAACGGGGGGGCTTTAGTTCCAGGGCGCAGCAAACCCCTCTCCAAGCTGTCGGCCTAATGCGATAACCCCAGGTGTCCCAGACAGCTCTGGGCCATGTTATTAAAATTACATGGCCAGTGCATAGCCCTGAGGGGGACTGTGCATGTGTGCGTTGGAGGGTCTTTAGCAGTGGGGCTTCCTCCAAATGTTATCCTCTGGGCACAACCCAATCCATTAAAAGAAAGATGCATTGAAGACCTGAATACTACACAACCTTCATGAAATTCATACGGGATACAATTGTGAGGATTTGCAATGCGAATTTATTGTCGGACAAAAAATAATAATATTTGCAAGATGTCACATTGGCTAATATTATAATTAGAGAAATAACAGTCCATTAATTATTACTGCTATAACAGAACAGCTGATAGACTCTATGAAGGCAGGTGTGGGTAACCATCCAAAACTCTCAGGGTAATAATCTTCATCATCGTTATTGTATGATGGAAAGAAATTGAGTTTTCTGGTAAGTATTTTTTATTGCTCATCATGTACAGTAGTTTGATGTTTCCTCTCATGTAACAACTGTTTGAGATCTGTTTGACATAATAGGTGTCTGTTTAATAAACTTCGGTTTGGAGTCAGTGCAACTCTTTTCATTGCTGCGGCTTTCCAATAACCTTACAGCTAGATGTGTTGTGCATATAACTAGTATGCACCATTTCATAGATTTCAGGCAGTCATCAATAGTGAAGGAATTGAAATCATGATTTTAAGTTTACATTAATTTGTCTACTGACATTATATTGTATATATGGTCAGCTCATGGTCAGGTTTGAAACATGACCTGGACTTTTGCTCCATTTTGTGATTTGATTGACCTTAGTCGTCTAATTTATTCTGCAGCAAGTACTGTTCCTTATTAATCCATCATCTCTGATCAATCATGCTGCAACTCCAAAAAATTACTTTGGGGGAGGGGGGAAGGGGGAAGCACCCCATCAACTAAGTCTTTCTACTAGGACATCTCTACTCAGGAGTCAGAATTGACAGAATAACTCTTCTTTAAAAGGTGGAGCTTTAACCTTCTTTGGTTCACAAATCACAGAGGAGAGAACAAAGAGACTTAACCAGGAGGTGTGACGTCAGGGAGCAACAACCCCACTCTCTGATCTGTTTACAAATGCAATCCTCCCTCGGTAGTACTCCTCGTCTCCCCTCCCCCTTTTGAACTGAATAACCTCAATGTGGGGTTACATACCCATGTCATCATTAACAAGCTTTGTCCCCATCCCCGTCCCTTTCATCCCCAACAAAATAAAAACAAAGTCAAATCTGCCTGGTTACCCACAGCAAAGTCCTGCATCACAAATGTGCTCGAGGTTCTCCAATCCTCAGAAAGACTATAAAGCCTTCAAACACTGTTATGAATTACTTTTTTAAGGGTTAACTGAGCTACCAAAGGCTTATCCGTTCTTGATGTTGGTCAGGTTTCCTAAAAATATAACCAACAAGCTAATGCCCCAGGGTAGCTGCCGAGAGAGATGATCCATTAAATTCCATCTTGCCTTGATGTGGGGTTTTACCTGATGCAAGTCTCAAAAAAAAAATTCAAATCATTTGATGTTTTTGTTTTAAAGTAATTTTAAAATGTTCTGACAGGAAGAGGTTTCAAAGCCTGCAACATTTTTTTCCTTCCAATATTGAGAATAATCTGCTGATTGTTTTCTCGATTAATATACTTTATTTTCTTTCTTTACATTTCCCTGTCCTGCTGTGCTAACTTGAATTTCCCTAAGGGGGATTAATAAAGGAACATCTTATCTTATGAGAGTTTTTGGTTAAATAAATGTCCAAAAATAATTGAAAATGCCCATCACAACTTCCAAGCTTCAAATGGTTAGAGGGTAAAGAAGGTACAATCAATTGGCATCTAAACCTTGAAAGGAAAGTAGGGCAACGTTTTAACTGAGATTAGACAGACAGATGGTGTTCACAGGAACAGCAGTCACTGTCCTAGCTAAGTGTAAGGACCCCTCCTCCTATCCTCACCCACCAAACCCTAAATTATTTTAACTTGGGGAAAGGGAAAATTCTGTCACTATTATAATCAAATATATAAATCGTCTATATATTATGCAGCTAGTGGGACAGAGAAAACACATGCCATCAGCAAACAAGAGATTATTATCTTAGTCCTGTGTTGCTACTGGGAAATAACTTCAGAAAAGGTGGCAGACCCTCATTCACTCACCATATCAAGATCCCTCTGGGTGGTCATGGCTCAGTGAGGCGGAAGGCCGTGGATGTGGATCAGAGAGGACAGGACTGGTGTGCTTCAGCTGCTGGAGACGGGGCCAGAGCCCTGACACAAACAACACAAACACTGTGAGGCTGCTTCCCACCGCCTGGCACCATAACTGCACTGCACATAATCCATTATCCCCCGAGCTAACATATCGCTAACATCACAACATGCATTAAACCTGCACATGATCGATTAATTACCTAATATGGTACGGTATAGTAGTGAGCATACAGGCTCACTTCCCCATGTTTTAACTAATTAATATACCAAACTTAGCTTGTCATGCTAATGCAGTAGTAGCTGAAGTATTTTCAGGTTCTAACAGTTAACGTTAAGCTAGCGGGCTAACGTTTCTTATGTTAGCTAGTTTGTAATATCGCTGCTAATTAGCTGGTTTGTAATATTAAACACTTGATATTGTAAATAGCTATAAAGCGTATCTCAGCCAGAGCACACCAACTACAACCGAGTTCCGTTCTGACAGATATCGAAACTGAGCCCTGCTCATAGGAAAGCTTGCGCTACAGTTAGCTGCTGTGTTAGCTTATGCTAATCCTGCCGTCGTTGGCGATCTGGCTAACTAAATATGTAACAGCATCTTTTGTCCTGTCGACCTCACCTGCATCTGATGAATATGATGAAATGTTGCATCCAGTTGAGTTGCCGAATCAGCGGGGGGCGCTTTTCATGGGGAAAATATCGAGTGTAGTTGGATTTCGTTGACTGTGTGCATTGGTGGCTAATGGACGGGAAGACTCCGGATGTCAGCTGGTTGTAAACACAGCGAACGACTGCAAACACTTGTGGGTGTTGAAGTCCATAACGAGTAAGCATATCTCTCTGACGTTTCACCGTGAAAACGTTGAAGAGCACTACGTTCAGTGTGAAACGTGATTATTAATTAGACGAATTAATCATGCAGGCTGTTTAGACAGTGTTTTGTGTAGATAGTAGGCCTAACTTTTTCAAACTTTATCATAAATTACAATAACAGTCAGTTACATATAAATAGATAGAGAGCCAATACATTCCACATAAAATATACATTCACAAGAGGACAAACATACATAAACTTTCCCCTTATTCTTATCAGATAGTAAGTAGAGAAGAAAATAAATGCATTAATTTACAATAGATAGAGGATAAAGTAACCAATATGGTGTCAAGGGAGCTCATCAAATACACTTTTTTAACATAAATCTGTTGCTATTCTCGATGTTTATCAGAGAAAAGGATTTGAGAAGTGACTAAAATCCACGAAAAAAAGAGGAAATGAGGGTTGAGATCCTAAGAATTTCTGCTTATGAATTACACATTTTCCCAGTAAAATACGAAGGTTAACCACATAAATTGTAGACTTATCTATTGGCCTAGCTGATACATTTCACAATATTTGCCCAAATCATGTCATGCTTTGGCAAAAAAAAAGGAAAAAACGCAAACAGTTTAAAGATGGAAACTCACCAGGTTAAAAGACAGACTGATAACGAAATGTATCTTGTAAAAACATTTCCTTTAGAGTCACATCAACAATATCACTATAACTGGCCTAATTAGTCCCGGTACCACTAAGCATGCATGTTCATTCTTGACTTTGGAAATACTTGTTTGACAAAACACTTCCAACTTAAGGTCTACTTCTTCCAGAACCACATCACACGTTCTTCATCAGCAGATGAAGTCAAGTTACACATGGAGATCGTGTCATCTGTGAAAACTCCTTGAGTTGTGATTGTTTTGTCAAAGTCCAAATACTAGGATCTACAATGGTGTGATGTAACTTACTTAAAAGCAATAACCACAAGCTTCAACATTTTACTTTACTCATTATGGAACTATGAATTGAATTTATTTATTTTTGCAGACTCCAAAGAACAGAACAGAAAGGTTGTGAAAAAAATACGCAAATACAGCTTCACTAGAGAGTAAAAAATGTTTTCATGAATATCACAGTTTAGATTTAAACATTTTTCTCTTCTCGTGGGGCCACACATTTTGAGGACTGCAAGGCTGAAACTTTTAAATACTGTGGATTGGATCTTGTAGAGGTAAGAAAGGGGCAACATCACAAGGCAGCATGAATTCAAGCTTTTAACCTATAAAACCAGTAAAAAAAAAAAAAAAAAAAAAAAAAAAGGGTTTCCATAATCATGTAGCTAAAAAAAATTACCAATGGCAACACAAGGAGAGGGGACGTTACAAAGACCTCAGATGTGCGTTTAAGAAATAAGGCAGTTTGTTGAGTTAATTCTCACTAATCTACAGTCTACTGAAATAACACTTCAAAAAAAGACATCTTTAAAGTGAATATGGTGAAGGGATTCACACAGATACAGATGTTAATTTACAGTGGGTACGGAAAGTATTCAGACCCCTTTAAATTTTTCACTCTTTGTTTCATTGCAGCCATTTTCCAAAAATCAAAAAAGTTCATTTTATTTCTCAGTAATGTACACTCAGCACCCCATCTTGACAGAAAACAGAAATTTTTGCAAATTTATTAAAAAAGAAAAACTGAAATATCACATGGTCATAAGTATTCAGACCCTTTGCTCAGTATTTAGTAGAAGCACCCTTTTGATCTAATACAGCCATGAGTCGTTTTGGGAAAGATGCAACAAGTTTTTCACATCTGGATTTGGGTATCCTCTGCCATTCCTCCTTGCAGATCCTCTCCAGTTCTGTCAGGTTGGATGGTAAACGTTGGTGGACAGCCATTTTCAGGTCTCTCCAGAGATGCTCAATTGGGTTTAAGTCAGGGCTCTGGCTGGGCCATTCAAGAACAGCCACGGAGTTGTTGTGAAGCCACTCCTTCGTTATTTTAGCGGTGTGCTTAGGGTCATTGTCTTGTTGGAAGGTAAACCTTCGGCCCAGTCTGAGGTCCAGAGCACTCTGGAAAAGGTTTTCGTCCAGGATATCCCTGTACTTGGCCGCATTCATCTTTCCCTCGATTGCAACCGGTCGTCCTGTCCCTGCAGCTGAAAAACACCCCCACAGCATGATGCTGCCACCACCATGCTTCACTGTTGAGACTGTATTGGACAGGTGATGAGCAGTGCCTGGTTTTCTCCACACATACCGCTTAGAATTAAGGCCAAAAAGTTCTATCTTGGTCTCATCAGACCAGAGGATCTTATTTATCACCATCTTGGAGTCCTTCAGGTGTTTTTTAGCAAACTCCATGCGGGCTTTCATGTGTCTTGCACTGAGGAGAGGCTTCCGTCGGGCCACTCTGCCATAAAGCCCCGACTGGTGGATTGCTGCAGTGATGGCTGACTTACTACAACTTTCTCCCATCTCCCGACTGCATCTCTGGAGCTCAGCCACAGTGACCTTTGGGTTCTTCTTTACCTCTCTCACCAAGGCTCTTCTCCCCCGATAGCTCAGTTTGGCCGGACGGCCAGCTCTAGGAAGGGTTCTGGTCGTCCCAAACGTCTTCCATTTGAGGATTATGGAGGCCACTGTGCTCTTAGGAACCTTAAGTGCAGCAGAAATTTTTTTGTAACCTTGGCCAGATCTGTGCCTTGCCACAATTCTGTCTCTGAGCTCTTCAGGCAGTTCCTTTGACCTCATGATTCTCATTTGCTCTGACATGCACTGTGAGCTGTAAGGTCTTATATAGACAGGTGTGTGGCTTTCCTAATCAAGTCCAATCAGTATAATCAAACACAGCTGGACTCAAATGAAGGTGTAGAACCATCTCAAGGATGATCAGAAGAAATAGACAGCACCTGAGTTAAATATGAGTGTCACGGCAAAGGGTCTGAATACTTATGACCATGTGATATTTCAGTTTTTCTTTTTTAATAAATTTGCAAAAATTTCTACATTTCTGTTTTTTTCTGTCAAGATGAGTCAAGAAGAGTGTACATTACTGAGAAATAAAATGAACTTTTTTGATTTTTGGAAAATGGCTGCAATGAAACAAAGATTGAAAAATTTAAAGGGGTCTGAATACTTTCTGTACCCACTGTATGTATGTGATGGTTCACTGGCAGTTCATCGTTTAAACACAGTATCTTTTTATGAGCTGCATGAATAAACTTTGTGATGAAGTCAGGTAAGAAAAGTGAGGTCCTTTTTAAAATAAGGGATAGAGTTGAACTGTGCAGCCCAAAGTGGATTAAAACAAACATATTTAACAGTTAACTACTCACATGACATTTAGACAGCAGATTTACATTGACATAAAAAAGAAACAATGCACACTTTGTACAGACGTGACTAACTGCAAAGCCGTAAACTATGCCACATATTTGGATTTAAAGTCGAGATAAGAGTGTAAAAAACTTCCCTAGTAGTTGATATTTAGAAGTTTATCCTCACACCAAAAAGTGATGCAATGCAGTTGTTGCATCTCATGATATATTGTAGAGCATCTTGTCCGGTGTATCTCAGCAGTCTGATTGGCAGTGGACCAAGTGATTAAAACAGAAGGAATGGAGAAAGCTCAGAAGGCTGGACTCTCACTGGAGAGCTTTTTCTGACATCTTTTAAAATTAGCTGCAGGTCCAGGGCTCCTCTGCTGCTTCTATAGCTTTTTGTTATCAGCCTAATTAAAGCCTTGAGAACAACTAAATTACAATTGATTTTAACAGCATCTCAACATAAAAAAAACACAGCATGTTTTAGATTAACATGAATTAAAACTTATATCAGTGTCTGGGTGTTCAACTTGAGCCTGTAGTTAATCACATCTTAACCTAAAGCCTCTCATTTTCATCCAAAATTAAGATCCAGCCAGTGATGAAGGCCCAGATTACACATGAGCTCACATATCAATGCACAGATCCAGCTTTTGGGACATGGCATAGACCCAGCATAGAAAAAGCTAACATATGAGAACGCTCAGTACTGTGGTGGGTCTGGCCTACTTCCTGGTTACCTGCAGACAACAGACGCTCTATGGTCCCTGATGTTGATCCAACACCATAAGCCATCAGGTGAGTCATGGTGGAGCAGACACCTGGAGCCCCAGTGGCATTTTATAAGTCATGACTCAGCTAATGAGAAACAGTGTAGGATTTAAAAGCAAACTTTAGAGATGAGGGATAGGCTGGGGAACAAAAAGCATCACACCGCCATAACAGTAAGCAGAATAAAATATAATTCATTGTATATTATAATTTAAAGAGATCTGACCAATAAGCAAAAAAAAGGCTACATAGAGAAATCAGAACCACTAACCTCACTTTGAAAACCTATCACTGAATAATAAAGAAACATTTTGTTGAAGATGGTTGTTTAAGTTTCAGTTTTGAGCTTAAGAAGTATTTTCTCACTTCAGGTTTTCTAATTCACCACATCTGATGCACATTTCATTTCCCTGTTCGCTGTCATCCAAATGAGCGGGAAGAAAAAAATGCCATACACCCAGTGCTGAAACATTATGACATCACAATAATAACCAGTCACGCTTAAATCAAGACAAAAGTCTCAAATAAAAATGTAAATCTTTATCACCTAAATGCATGCCCATTTTCACAATGTAGGTAACAATAAAAAAAATACAAGAATACTAAATGTCCTGAGTTACTTTGTTCCTCAGTGGACTGAACTATACTACTACTACTATTATTACATAAGTTCTTGTGATTTTTTTTGTTGCGAGTCCCGTCTTTATTGAATCAAACAGTGACTCCAGTCTGAATGACAAAACTCTCTTACTTGCTTTTTTGAAGACTTCAACTGCCTCTCATGGTCATCATTAATTAATATAGTCAGGGGTCATTATGTGACCCAGGTGTGGAACTGATCAACTGATAAAGACTGAGATGAGATAAGATTATTTTGTCACAAATATTGTTCCCAAGGTCAATATGAGCTTCTATGCCCAGATTCTGAAATGTGTTTGTCTAGTAGAATAAAGCTGGATTATTAAAACAGTGAGCAACTTCCCCAGGGCCCCAACCATCAATTCTGGTAGGGGGCCTTTGTTGCATACCCCCATGCTCTCTCCCTATATTTCTATCTGTATCCCTGATGTCACTAAGTCAAATAAAGGCAAATGCCCAAAATAATGATATAAAAAAACAGTTGCACATCATTTGATTAATTGCATTTTCTTTAGGTACAATATCAAGTAAAGATGTATTAAATGATCACATGGCTATATATTTAAGAGGGCCATTTGTCAGAAACTTTAGTAGTAGTTTTGAGACATTAAATATTTTAGTTTAGTTTGTGAAGAGATTTGAACAAATTTATTTTCAGGATAAGCTGCACCATCTCGTTTTGAGGCGGTCCTGACAAAAGACAGACAAAAAAGACACAATATGCAGCAAATAACAGATTTAGTTACAGTTACAATGTAAAAAAAAAATACAGAAACAAAACACACTCACTCGTGGACCATGCACATGCTACGAAATATAGACACCCACACTAGTATTAAAACAGTACAGTACAACAGTAAGTAATGATAATAAACAGGAGCAGTCTGTTGTTTGGTGAGTGACAAGATCTTTTTTATATGAACCTGAATACTGCAGAGATTTTAGAGAGGTTGGTAGTTTCTAGCTGGTAGTCTCTAGGAGCCTTAATGTTAAATGCTTTTCCCTATATTTCAAGTGAAGTTTTTGGAACATGAAAGAATCAGAATCAGAAGAATCAGAATCAGAAGGAGCTTTATTGCCAAGTAGTGTTTTACACAATTTGCTTTGGTGTTAAGGTGCTACACGCATACATACAGCTGACATAAATAGATGTAGAAATATATAAATATGTAATAAACAAATGCAACTTATATAAGAATAATAGAAGAATGTGCAATGCAGGTTCATGCATGAAATGACATGAAGTGATATTTACATGTGCCGAGACGATTGTATTATTTGAAATGGGGGAGTGTCAATGTGGGGCCTGGGCCTTGTTGATGAGTCTAGCTGCAGACGGGTAGAAGCTGTTTTTGTGGCGAGAGGTTTTGGTCCTGATGGACCGCAGCCTCTTGTCAGAGGGGAGAGTCTGAAATAGTTTGTGACCGAGATGGGAGGCGTCAGCTGCAATCTTTCCTGCTCGCCTCAGAGTCCTGGAGGTGTACAGGTCCTGAAGAGAAGGAAGATTGCAGCCAATCACCTTCTCTGCAGAGCGAATGATATGCTGTAGCCTGCCCTTGTCCCTGGCAGTGGCAGCAGCGTACCAGATGGTGATGGAGGAGGTGAGGATGGACTTAATGATGGCAGTGTAGAAGTGCACCATCATTGCCTTTGTCAGGCTGAACTTCTTCAGCTGCCGCAGGAAGTACATCCTCTGCTGGGCCTTCTTGGTGAGCGTGGTGATGTTCAGCTCCCACCAGAGATGAGCCCAATGAGTGGTGTTGTCCGCAAACTTCAGGAGCTTGATAGACTGGTGACTGGAGGTGCAGGTGTTGGTGTACAGGGAGAAGAGCAGAGGGGAAATCTTGATGTGCTGCTTCCTGTGATCCACCTGCAGGTGGAGTCAGGCACGTTCAGCTGGGAGGAGATGGTTATTGCTTCTAAGAGAATAAATATGATTAGAATAATACGGTATGAATAGTTCTTAGATAGTAGATAGAATTTAGTAGATAAGCTATTTGAAATTATTACATTTGAAAGGAAACTGGTACCAGTGCAGTTACCATCTATATTGTGCTCAGATAGTGCATATTCTTAAATAAAAACTATTTATTGTTTGAAGTGCACACTGTGAGTAATGGAAATTTGGAGGTGACAGGTTACATACAATGCACAGAGGGTAGTACACAGGGTGTATTAGGTGGTCTATGGTAGCCCCCTGGGGCCCCCTGACATGTTTATCTGGCCATGCATTAGGCTGTAAGAGACTGGACAACAAAATATGAACATGTATAATATTATTATTATTATTATTATTATTATATAAATCAGGACAGCTGAGTCACTGAACTCTAGTTGATTGATTTATTTTTATTTCTTAAGTTTTACCGTTTATCGTGTTATCTGTTTTATTGTCTTTGATTTTGTGAAAGCACTTTGTGACATGGTTTTGAAAAATGCTCTATAAATAAAGATTATTATTGTTACTATTATTGTAATTAAAACATGTTGTTTTGTAGTTTAAGTCGTTGTAATCTAATTAAGTATCAGTAATCGAATTACCAGTAATACCTTAAATGCCCCAAGTGTGTCTGGGACTTTCAACTCTTACATAATGCACCATTACAGGTACATGTTGCCTCCATTAGCTGCTATTTACGCCTGCGCTCACACGAATGACTCGGTTTCCCAGAAACCCACTTAGCGCTTGCGCAGAACGCGTTGCCTGACAGTGGTAAACAGACGTCAGAAGGGAGTCTTCGCCTCGAGTCAAAACAAAACAAAACAAAACAAGTCAAAAAGATAAAGAAGGAGTGGATATTTGGGCCGCCACAACGACAGGAAGTTCTCCAAAAGTCATTACTGATTAATAACGGCTACTTGGGGGAAGTTATCGGAGGCATTTCACGGACTTTTTCACGGATTGTAAACTCTGAAGTAGCAGGAGCTTAACCAGCTAACGTTACGGTGGCTATCGTGCAGTTTTGAAAGTGCGGCGAGTTGAAGCCGACAGACCTTCGAGGCGACCCAACTTCACTCAACACCCGGGAATTCGCTTTGTAGTAAGTTTGCCGAGACCGCGGGGGGAAGATCGACTAAGCTCCGGGCCTCGGTCGAGAGGGGTTTCATACCCGCTTCTTCGAGCATCGTGTGCCGCGGCAGGAGTGTGGAGAAACATGGCAGATGGTGACATGCGCCTGCCCGCAATGTGGCGGATCGTGCGGACCTGAAGCACGGACTTTTCATACGTACATTTCCCTCACCACCTTCCCCCTTTTTTCATTAACTTAACACTATTTAACTTTTACATAAAGGCGCTATCCCTCTCCTCTTCCCTCATGTGAAATTTCTGTTTGTGTGGGTAGTTTTTTACGCACAGGCCGAAGAGACAGCGGACAACGTCTCGTTACTGTTTTTTTTTTATATACTTTTCTGGCGGTTGGCGAAGAAAACCGTTGCTGTCACATTTTGCCGTTTTACGTTTTTACACTTTGGTTTAACCGGACCGGTTTTTGACTGTTTGGGGATCATATTTTGTTCATAAAGATAGAGGTTTTTTGGGTCGTGGAGATCCTCCAGACATCACGTTGTTTACAAGTGGAGACGGACAGGGCTCTCATGAGAAGCCCCTTTGTAACAGTAGCCAGCTAATCCCTGTTTGTAGTCTTCGTACATACTGTAGTTTTGCAGTAAAACTAATGTAGTGTGACACGTTTGGTGCAACATAATCCATAATTTGGATTTTTCCTTGACATATTGTTACATTGTGAGAAATAGTTTTATGGATACTTTTTACAACATTAAACCCTTTGACAAATGTTTAAATAGTCTATTAACAGGAATGGCATTATTTTGTATTCATATACTAAGATTGTGTTATTCATTTTCAGGTGAGCCAACACCTCTGTAGATCCAGATGTTTTGGTGCTCACTGCCACTCTGCCACTTTTGTTTTTATGTCATTCAAACAAAGGGAATCTCATCCCAGCCCTCCTTCATTCTATATACATCGGAAGGTTTATGATAGTTACTATTAAGGAGATTATTTGGGTTCCCTAATCTCCAATCTGAGGATTAACCGAGGCCATTGGTGTGTCCAGATTATTACGTCTCTTTTCTAGGCCCCTCTGTTTACGCCCCCGCAGTGGCTCAAGCGTATTGTTTTTGTCAGGAAGTTTTTTTTAACGCATTAAAGACTCAAAGCTAACTTTACATTTTTAAGGTAGATGTTTTAGGTGGTCCCTTTTTTTTTTTTTTTTTTTTTTTTGAGTGGAAGTTCAGAGGACCGCAATGGATGAGTCCTCGGTACCCCCGATTGACCCAGATTTCGAGCCGCAGAGCAGACCCCGCTCTTGCACGTGGCCCCTGCCGAGACCCGACATCTCGGCTGTCAAACCGGAGGGGGCGGATGGCACCGAGTCCGCCGCCGGCACCCCGCCCGCGGACGAGGACAAGCCCGAGCCACAGCAAATCACGTCCGAGCCCGAGAAGGCTGCGGCCGAGGGCGGGGTCGTGGCCGGCGTGGGCGGAGCCGGCGCTACGCCCCGCAAGGGATCATCCCGGCGCAACGCCTGGGGGAACCAGAGCTACGCAGATCTCATTAGCCAGGCCATCGAGAACTCGCCTGACAAGAGGCTGACCCTGGCACAGATCTATGAGTGGATGGTGAAAACAGTGCCTTACTTCAGAGACAAAGGAGACAGTAACAGCTCTGCTGGCTGGAAGGTGAGTAAATGGGTGGTGTACATCTTTGCTGCATCATTTTACAACGTGGACTGTTAATACTTTAAGTGCCCTAAGTCATGAATTTATAGCTTTACAATTCACTTTACATCATAGAAACACTGGTTTGCAGATAACTATCTTATTCTCTGGGCTGGGCAATATGGGCCAGATGAACTTATTCCATTATCAAAGTATATCACTTTTTTAGGTATGAACAAATTACTTCACTGTTCATTTTCAGCAAACATTGATTTATTTACTATACAAAAATAATTTCCTGTTGTGGGACATTAAAGACCTGAACCAAATGAACTGGGATAAATGTGACTTTGTAAACACTTTTGTCCCAACCTTTTTTGGTTTGTAACCCCTTGAAACAAAGCAATAACTTCTTGGGACCCATTGTCACAGTTTGCATTGATGTAATAGTTTTGACCCCCTTTTTTAAATAATAAAACAAGTACTGACTAACTTTGAGCATGCTTTAGTTTTGGTAGGATCATTTAAACTTGGGCAGTGCTGAAGTTTATTTATTAGTAGTGATTAATCTGCAAATGAAATAATGTTTAATCAAATGAAGCTCATTTTTCATAGATTCCTTTTTTTTTTTTTTTCTCTATGTTTTCAGAATTCAATTCGCCACAATTTATCACTCCACAACAAGTTTTTGAGGGTACACAATGAATCGACAGGAAAGAGCTCCTGGTGGATGCTCAACCCGGAAGGAGGGAAGACTGGGAAAGCTCCCCGCCGCCGGGCCGCCTCCATGGACAACAGCAGCAAATTGCTGAAGAGCCGCATGAGGGCCAAGCAAACCAAGAAGCAGGCGGGAGCAGCCGGTTTGGGTGGAGGGGCGCTGCAAGGGGATGGAAGCACAGGCTCAGCCGGCGCAGACAGCCCTAATTCGTCCCAGCAGTTTCCAAAATGGGGAGTTAACAGCAGCAGCCCCTCGTCCCGCGGCAGCCTGGATGACACTGACATGTGGACTACCTTCCGCCCACGCACAAGCTCTAACGCCAGCACGCTGAGCGGACGTCTGTCCCCCATTGCTCCCGGACAGGAGGACGACGATAACCTGCCTGAGGACGGACTGCTGGGAAGATACACTGCCAGCAGCTTGACCCCCACCCTCACAGAGACCCTCATGGAGGAGCTGGATCTGATCGATGGCCTCACATTGATGACCGGGCAGCAGGGAGGGGCCAGCCCAAGTACAGCCCCACCTGCACCGCCCACTCCGTTGCCCTCCGCCTCCACCCTGCTGCCTCGCGGCTCCAGCTTCTCCTCCTTCCATCAGCTGCAACCATCCAGCCTCCCGCAGGCCACAACTCACACTGGGTCACAGGCCTCCATCTCTCAGTGTGGACCCAGCAGCAAAGAGCCGTCAACCTTCAGCAACTCCCTCTTCAACCCCATGTCCACCTCTGGCTCTCGTGGGGGCAGCCATTACAGCACCCACGTGCCTTCCAGTCTGGAGGCGCTGCTCACTTCCGACTCCCCTCCTCCG